ACGGTGGAGGCCCTTTCCAAAGGCCTCCAGCACCTCTGGAGGCGTCCGTGGATTTCGGGAGACTCCCCGAGATCTCGGGAGACGCTCGCAGAAGAGGGATCGGGACGAGGAGGAGGGGAGCAGGAAGCGCACCACCACCACCACCACCACCACCACCACCACCACCACCACCACCACCACCACCACCACCACCACCACCACCACCACCACGATTTAGGATGGGCTGGCGCGCGGGACGCGGGTGAACACGAGGGCCCGCGAGAGCGCCCGAAACGAAATGCACTAGGGACGTCCAGAGTGGCCTCTAGGGCGTGACCAGTTGCGTCAGGAGGTCGCCGCGGGGAGGCCTCCTGACGCTCGGTTTGGGGCCTATTTGGAGCCGTTGAGCTATCGTGGAATCCGCTATTATAGCTGGGCGTGCGCTCGGATTCGTGAAAACCACACTCGCAAAATATTATAGTTCATAACTTTCGTAGTACCTGTTTACGTATTCCGACACCCTAAAACCAGTTGTTGCATACGCTTGATTTGCAGTTTATCATTTTTCAGGATCACCGCCGTCACGAATGTGACATCAGAAACACACTGGTTATTAAAATTCGGGGCGTGTGTTCTTGGGATGTTGGGTCTGTGTATGCATATGCCCATCATTTCTCACCCTCATCGTACCTTATTTCCTGGGCCCCATTTCTGCGTTTTTGCGGTGATCCCCCGACCCCCCGACCCTCCCTCCCCTTCTCCCCTCCCTCCCCTCCATCACGGTTTACTCTCCCTCTCCCCTCCCTTTCCCTCCCCTCCCTCCCCCTCCCTCCCCTCGCTCTCCCTTTTCCTCTCCCTCCTTACCTCTCCCCTCCCTCCCCTCCCTCCCCTCCCTCCCTCTCCCTCTCCTTCTCCCGTGCGTGCTTTTACATCTCCCCCGTTCGATGCCTCCAGCCATTTTGGCTATGGCGGGGCCCCTCGTTTTCTCCCGCCTCCTCCCCTCGCTCGCCGCCTCCTCCGTCCTCAATGGCTACGGGGACCCCGCCGTGCCGCGGCGGGCGCTGGCCGCGGTGGCGGCGGCGCTCGGCGCGGACGAGCAGGCCCGCGCCTGCTATCTCCCGCCCGCACCTTCCTCCTCGCTTCGTCATGTCTCCGCCACCCCCCCTCTCCGATCTGTCTGTCGTCCTCCTATCCTCCTGTCGGGGATCCCAAGCCCGCCGCAGGCGCCTTTTTTCCCACCACCGACACATTGGAATCACACGCCCACCGCAGGCGCCGATTTCTGTTTCCACCAAAAGCAAATGGGGGGAGTACAAGCCCGCCGCAGGCGCCGATTTTATCACCGAAAATCAATGGGGATCCCAACCCCGCCACAGGCACATGTTTTTTCGTTTCAAAACGCATGGGGATCCCGAGCCCGCCGCCGGCGCCATCACCGTCCGTAGCCATTTGTGGCTCAAGATCCGAGCTGGCATCATGCCGCGCGCTCCTGCGCGCGTCGCGGGGTCGTGCTTGAGGACCAGCAGCGCGTCGCTGGCCGTGACCTCGCCGGCCCGCGCGACGCCGCCGTCGGCCACCACGGCCACGCGTCCGGCGAGCTCGCCGAGCGGCAGCGGGATGGGCAGCCCGCCGCCGACGGCGACCTCGACCTCGACTGCGAGGGCGACGTCGTCGGCCACCGCCAGCTCGGCCAGCCCGGCGGCCACGCGCCCGGGCACATCGAGCAGCGCGACGGGATCGACGAGTGGCCGCGGGGGCAGCCACCCGTCGCTGACCTCGGCCTCGGTGCCAAATTCGATGTGAAGCGGCCGCCGCCGTGGGCGCGGCGCGGCGCAGTCGTCACGGCGCGGCGGCGTGGGCCGCCGCCGACGCCACCTGCGCACTCGTTCCACGATATCACGTGCCCCGCACTTGCCGCCGCCCGTGCACTGTCGCCACATTTCGTGACCTCCTGTGCGTCCAGCGGAAGCGCGACGGGCATCACCGCCTGCACCTTATAATTTTATCATTCGTCGGGGGGGGGGTCATTGTCGTCGTCGTCGCCGTCACATATCACGGCAGTGGCAGCAGCGAATGCCATATTCACTGCTGCCACTGCCGCGCCGCGATCGTCTTCAGACGACCCACGATTCCCACGATGCCTCCAAGACTCCCCGAGAGGCTTCCAAGTTGCCTCCCATCGTTTTTTTTTTTTTTGTTTCAAGATGTTATGTCTTCTCACCTTTTCAGGGGCCCCCAAGTGGGCCCCGCGACGCAATGCGACGCGCCCGACCGCCCGTCCGGGTGGCGGATTTGGTCCAGCTCGCGATCGGCACCGCCGCGCGCCGTGCGCGTGTCGCGGGTCGCGGGCACTCCGCGCGCGTGCTTGGGTGATGCTCGTGCGCCATTTGATCGCATCTGCTCATCATCGATCTCGGGGACATCTGGGTGGGAGGATTCCTTATCCGATGAGGGGTGACAGCGATACTTACATCCACTACTGGAGCTCCGCTGGCTTCCAGACTCTGGATTCCTTATCCACTGGGTCGGTTTCCTTATCCAATGTCTACCGTGACCGCGCGGTGTCAGGGCCTCCCGCGGCACGAACGGCCCCGCACCCACGGATGATGATGCGGGCGAGGCGTGAGGATGGCGTGAGGAGGGACAGGGCCATCTTCATCATCATCTTCACACTCACCAGCGCAATCATCACGCTCATCATCATCATCATCATCATCACCATCACCATCATCACCATCATAGCCGCCTTGTCTCAAGCATGGAGCCTCTTCCGTGGGCCGCCATCCTCGCGCCGCCGCGGACGCCCGCTGAGTTCGGGGCGGCGCAGCGACGGATCCGCACGCCGGCTGCTCGCGCGGCGGCACGGCGTCTCGCCGAGCTCCTGGACTTCGCGGAGGCGGCCGACGCCAAGCCCGACGCCAAGCTCGACGCCAGGCTCGACGACGCCAAGCCCGACGTCAAGCCCATCGCCGAGCCCGAGCCCGACGTCACGCTCCTCGCCAAGCCCGACGCCAAGCCCGACGTCACGCTCCGTGCCAAGCCCGTCGCCGCGTCGGGCGTGGCCGCCACGCCCGACGCCACGTCCGACGTCGAGACCGTCGCCACGCCCGCCGCCAAGAGGCCCCGCGCCAACGACGCCGCGCCCGACGCCGACACGGCCATGCCGCCCGACGCCGAGCCCAACGCCGAGCCCAACGCCGAGCGCATGCCCTTCTACAAGTCGGTGCTGAGCGAGGTGCGCGCGCGCCGGCTGGCTGATCGTGGGCGAGAGTCGTCGCCAGATCCGTATTGGTTTTAATTTACATCCTGTGCATCGCGTGCTGCGTGGGAGCGCGTCGGCGGGCCGCTCCTGCCGTTCCTTAGGCCAACGTCGTTTGGGCCTCGGTCCGCATTTGTGCTGTGAAAAAACACATATCCATTATACTCAACCCGCGGAGTAAGGCTGCGCACTTTTGTCCGAGATTACCCTTGAATCCTTGCCCCTTCGGCCCATCCCTTGCATCTTTCGCTGGCAGATCCGCTCGAAAACAACGTCGGACTGTGCATCCTTATCGGTTTACTCCGCGGGTTGACTGTGCCACATCACCCCGTCCCTCCCGTCCGTCCTTGCTGGTCGCATCCTGCTAGTGTGCCGTGCGTCACGTGTGTGCGTGCGTGCGTGATCCCCCCCCCCCCCCCGAGCCCCGACCTTCCACTCCCTTGCATCCTTGCATCCTCCCGTGACGGCTGGCCGCCATCCCTCATCGTCGACTTCCACGGGCCTTGCGGCCTTGCATCCTAGCTTCATCGTGCTGCGCGCTGTGTCATGGAGTGCGCGGGAGATGATGGGGATGATGGGATGACGGGCGGCGGGCGCGATGGAGGGGCATCACATGCGAATAGAGATGGTCGGATGGATTATGGGTGGCAGGGTGGGATGGCCAGCTTCCTCTTCCTCCCCCGATCCTCGCTCCTTGCTTCTCTCACCCCTCACCTAGCTCTTCGTGCCCCTCCCCTCCGCCCGCTAGGGCCGCCGGCGCGTCGCCCGGCGCTGCGCGGACCCTGCGGCGGGCGCGGCTGGTGGCGCGGGCCGCGCTGGTCAGCTCGGCCTGGCGGCGGGCTCGGCAGCGTCGCGTCGTCGTCGCTGCCGCCGTCGCCGTCGCGCCGTCACCGTCGCCGTCGTCGACCGCCGCTCCGATTGTCGCCCGTCGGCCGTCGTCGGCGGGGTCGACGCGCCGCTGCGTCGGCCGACGCCGCGCCGCCCGTCGTCCGCCGTCTGGCCCTCCCTCCCTCTCCGCCTCTCCACGCCGTCCATCTCTCTCTCTCTCTCTCTCTCTCTCTCTCTATCTCTGTCTCTGTCTCTCTCTCTCTCTCTCCCTCTCTCTCTACGCGGCCACCCTCGTATCCCCGCCCTGCTCCCCTCCACCTCCACCCCTCCCGCTTCACCTGCCCTCTCCCTCCCTCCACTCTCTCTCCGCGTCCCCCGCCCCTTCCCCATCATTCCCCCCCGCCGTCCTCCCGATCCGACCTCCGTCCACCCCATTTGTCGATTCAGATTCACCCCGCCCCCCTCTCCGATCCCGTCGTCGTGTCATCGTGCGGGGCCGTGTCGGGCTGCGGCTTCCGATCGGCCCGATCGGCTTGGCCGAGGCCCCCGCGTTCGTCGACCCGCACACGGCCGACCACTTCACGATCGCCGTCGTCGACGACGTGTTGGTCTAGCCCGCTGCCCGCCCTTCCCCCCGCTACCCCGTCCCGCATCCCTGCCCAGCCTCTCACCGTGCCTCGCGCCCCCTGCCGTCCCTCATCACCTCCCGCCTCATCGTCCACCTCTCGCCTCGCCTTCCTACTCGCCTCCCTCCTCACTTCCCTCTTCCCTGCCACTCCTCACCTCATCCCTCTCGCCTTCGCCCCATCCACCCCCCCGGCCTCCCTCCGAATCCTCACCCCCGTCCACGTTCCGCCCCCGCCACACCCTCCCTCCTCCCTCACCCATCCCGCCTCCGCCTCCGCCCTCCCTACGCCGCTCGGTCACGCTGCGCATGCAGCCGCTCGGCCACGCGCTGCTGACCAGATTGGCCTTCGAGCTGAAGCTGCGCCTGATCAACGGCGCGCGCCCGTCGCCTGCTGGCAGCGTCGATGCGGCTGTGGTTGCCGTGTCCCAGCCGTCCAGGCCGTCCACGCCGCGGGAGTCCACGCCGTCCACGCCCGTGCCCCGCTCGTCGGCGTCGGTGGCATCATCGTCGGCCGTCGTGCCATACGGGACGTGCCGATCGGGCCCCATCGCCCCGCTCGCCGCGCGTCGCCGTGCCGCCAGGAACGAACATCGGCTCGCTCAGGCCCAGCGCGCGGTGAGGGCGTTGCGGGCGCGGCTCGTGCGCCAGCACGCCGTGATCAAGCGCCACGAGGCGCGCGTCGCCGTCCTCGAGGGTGGCGTCGGTGATCCGCTCGTCATCTCGAAGACTGGTTCGCAACAGTTGAGTTGGACCTCCACCATTGCGATGGGCGTGCGTCGGAACCTCTCCAACATGGCTGCCGCCGATTTTGGCGTCACGCTGTTGGACGTTTCGCGCCAGACCGTCTGCCGATCCGAGCGCCTCGTCGGCTCGTGCATCGTGGCGACCAGCCGCCAGTTCTTCAGTGAGTGGCGCCTCGCCCTCGGCACGTTCCTGGCACGATCGCCTGCGCCTCCAGCGCAGCACTCCATCATCAACGTCTACTCGTGGCGCAGCGACGCGACGAATTCAGGAGTGTGGCAGCGCCAGAAGGTGTGCGCACTCGAGGCCGAGGCCTACGTGATGCTGAACCCGCTCCCGCCAGATTCAACTCGCACCTGCCAGATGTGCGACGTGTTCAGCTACATCAAGCGGCTTTCGGACGTCCAGACCGTTACCGGCGGCTCTGGCGAGTGCACGTACCGCTTGATCGTGAAGCAGCTGAAGGCGCTCGGAGTCCCTGTGGGACGAGCACGGCACGTCCGCCGCCCACGACTCCTGTCTGCATTGGTACTTCACCACGTCCGACCAGGGGTCAGATCAGGTCAGGGCCCGTCGCATCATCGCCATCTTGACCGCGCCGATGCCCAACGTCATTTTCATGGGCCACAACTGCTGGGAGCACGTCGTCCACTTGATCATCGGCCAGGCGCTGAAGCTCGCAGATCAGTTCTTGAAGGAATGGGGCCGGTCGTGGCGGTACTACTCGACCGTCGCCATATGCGCCAACGTCTGGCGCGAGGCCGCGCGGCCCATCTACTTGTGGTGGATCACTGCGTGTGGCCCGATGGATGCCAAGGCCCGCGCGTCTACGCTGTGCCCCAAGGCCTGCTCAGCGCGATGGGGTGCAGTCGAAGCAGTCGAGGAACGGCTCAGTGCCGTCGCCGGCGCGTTGCACACCGCCTTCGCTGCCGTGTTGGCTGGGCGCGCCGCTGCCGAGGCCGCGCCTGTGGAGGACGCCCCCGGAGAAGCAGCTGCCGCCGCTGTTGCATTCGAGCCCGTGCTCGCTGCTGGCGTGGACGCGCGCCGCGCCGTCGGCGACCTCTCCACCGATAGCGCCAAGGCCTGGTCTGCGATGCTGGGCCGATGGCGCAGGCAGGCTGTGACCTCGACCGCCGACCCTCTTTTCTGGGGCATGGTCAAGTGCAGCTTGTGGAGCAGGTCCGTGACAACCCACGCGAGCTGCTTCTTGAAGGCTACTGGTCGGCAGCACATCGCCGAGCTCGCTTGCGGCAAGGCTGTCGCGGCAATCCAAACCATCATATCCATCATCATCATCATCATCATCACACATCCGTCATCATCATCGTCGAGTCATGCATCGTCGGTCGCCGTCGTCGCAGTCGCACGTCGGTCTGGTCTGGTCGGGCACTGGTCTGGTCGTCGCCGTCGCCGCCGCCCCCGTCGGCTGGCGGTGCCCCGGCCCCGTGCCGCGGCGCGTCTTCCCCCCCCGCAGGCTGGCAGCCTCTTCAGCGAGTGCGACGCCTTGCTCAGCGCGCACCCGTGGGAGGACCTGTTCAGGCGCATGCCCCAGGACAGCCCGTGGCGCCGCGCCATCCCCGTGCATCCTCCGATCCCCTCATCTCGCCCGCTCTCTTCTCTGTCCCTCCCTCCTCCCCCCTCCTCCAATCGCTCCTCCGCGGCTCCTCCCTCCTTCCACCCTCTCGACCTCGCCACCGCCTCGTCCTCGGTGCCGCCTTCGCCCTCCCCCCATCATCATCTGAAACGAGGGGCGGCGACCGGCGCTAGCATGCTCATCGCGCTAGCGCCGGCCGCCGCCCCCATTGAGATGTTGTTTTTTTTGGTGCACGGGTGCACGGGTTAGCCATTGCGCCATCCTGCGCCAGGACGACGAGAGCACCATGTTGAACTCATACGCCATTTCAAATATCATGGTCCACGCTGGCGGCTTCTTTCGACGACTATTGGAACCAGCAGTGACGTGGCCATATCGCATGTTCGGTTTGATCTACGGCGGCGACCGGCTGGCGGACGCCCCGCTGAGACGTCAGACGGCGGATGCCCTGCTCACCACTGACCCCGCCGATCTCGACATCGGGACTCGGAAGCTGTGCGACGTGTTCGCGCGCGACCTCCGCTCCATCCGGCAGAGGGGAGTGTGCCCGCCTAGGCTGTGGTATGCGCTGTCTGCCGCGTCTCGCGCGTGGCGGTCGGACACGCGCGAGAACGAATCCATCAACAAGACCATCTCCCTGATCAGCGAGCGCGCCCCGTCCGTCGGCCTCGACCTCCTCAGCGCCAGGTGCACCACCAAGCACGCCATCGGCGGGTTCGCTGGTACTGGTGATGCGCGTGGGCGTCGCGCTGGAGCTCGACAGGTCACAACCACTCCGAACCCCCTCCTTCCTTCTCCCCCCCCCCCCCCTCCTCCTGATCATATCATTCGCATCGCCATCAGTACATCGACATCGTCACCATCATCATCCTCATCATCATCATCCTCATCATCATCATGCATCCCCCATCATCCCCACCTTCCCCGTCCTGCATCCACCTCATGAGCGGGATTGTCATCACATCATGTTACGTTATCTAGACAGGTTGCAGGATTGTGTGGCCGCGTCGACGACGCCACGCTTGCCGCCGTGCGCGACGACGCGCAGCGCTGGTCACCCTTGCCCAACACGGACTCGCCGCTCGACCCGAGCATCAACGTGGCCACGGCACTGCGGGCGCTGTGCCCTGACATGCGCGTGTCAGCTCGTCGCGCTTGGTGCGTCGCACACAACTCGGCGTTTCACAGTGTGTGGAGAACTCAGCCCGCTGGCATGTCGCTCTGCTTCTGCTTCGGCGACTCGCCCCAGAACGGCTGCCCCTGGTGGGTTAGCATTGAGCGCGACCGCTGTCGCCATGTGTTCGCCGAGCTCAGGCTTGATGAACCTGGCATGTGCGCTCGCCTGGTTCGCCCTCTGACAGCGGTTCGATCGGTCCGCCTGTTCGACACCTTCTTCGAGCCGGTGCGTGTGAGCGATGGCCCGGTGCGCATGATGTGTTTCCGCCTGACCTGGGACCGCAAGTCGATGGTGACGGCATCGCTGTCTGCGCTGGATGACGTCCATTTCAGATTTGTGAAGTTCAAACAGAAGCCGCAGACCGGTACGTCACCAGCGGCCCCGCTGCCATTGCCAATGCACCCGCCCCCGCCCGCGGGTGGCTCAGCGGACCCGTCACGCGATGACGACCATGACCCGTTATGTGATGCGCTTGCGACCATCATGCACGCCGACGGCGTCTACGAGGACGAGTTGCTCGCCAGCGAGGCTGTGTCGACTGAGATGGCCGCCCAGTGCGCGGGCATTGACATCGCCGACGCCGCCCCCAGCGCCGCCGACCTGGAGTTCCACGAGTCCGTCGACGCCAGCACGGTGCCCGAGGACGACCGCCATCAGTCCATCACCGGTCGTCCCTCCTTCCCACCGTCCCCACCTGCTCGCCCTGTCATCCTCCATTAGGAACCCTCCATCCTCTTCGCACGTGTGTAACCCGTCCTCCACCGCCGCCCCCGCCCCCCCCCCTCCCCTCCCCTGCTGCCGAGGCCGTCGCTGCGACGCCGTCGCTGCGACGGCAGCGCGGGTGGGGCGGGGGGATTGGGGGGTGGGATGTGGCGGGGGGGCGGGTTGCACGCCCGCCGAAGAAGGAGCTGCAGCATCGGCTCGACCACGCCGCGCTCGGGCCGGCGATCCACGGCGCTGCGGCGAAGGGCGTGGACATCGTGGCGGCCGCGTCGGACGCCGCTGCAGGCGACATCGCTGCCACCACCGATCGGCTTCTTGAGGCTGCCGTGTATGATGGCATCGCTAGCATGGCACCGCCCCCAGCGCCGCCACCGCCGCACGCTCAGCCGCTCACGCTGTGCAGTGCACGCGCCGCGTTGCGGGCATGGGCCGAGTCGTTTGCCGTCAGCATCGGGGCCTTGCAGAGTCGACGTCGAGCATGCACCGCTGACGTTGGCGAGGCTGGGCAGCTGTCGGTCATGTCCATCTCTAGAGCCGATGCGGCCCGCAACGACTATATCCGCCGGGTGTGCTACGCTCACTGGGCGCAGCCGCGGTCGTGCTACGGGCGGCCGACAGGGCTGATGCCCGACGGCACCGTTGCGCACCCAAGTAACGCACACGTGCGGGCCGTCTATTTGAAGACATCTAGTATAGTATGGCCCGCCATCGGGGTCTCGCTGCGGGCTTGCGACAAAGGCGCCATCGTGGGCGCCCCTGTCCAGCGATGCCACGCCATGTGGACTGTCGCGCTGGACAGGGAATGCGTTGTCGCAGCGCAGCAGGTCACGCACTCGCCGATCGTTGGCGACGATGAGTCGGCGCTTGAGCCGTGTGTTGCGTGCGGTGGCACGACCGCTCCCGCCACATTAGTGCAGTGCGCGCTGTGCCTCGGGCTCTGGCATCCCGCATGCGCTGCCTCTGTTGTTGATTTGGTGCGCGAGGCCGTCGACGGCCATCGTGCGTCCCTCGTTTACAAGGACGTGCCGCCGGCCGTGCACTGCTGGGCGCGTGCAGTGTGCACAGCAGTCGTTGGCGCACCGCCGCCGCCCGGGGCCGGCAGTGCTGCGTCGTCAGCCGCCGCGGCATAGATCGCAGTTGAGGTGACCGCTCTGCCGGGGCAGGGCGTGGCGTCGCGGCCTCTCGGCGACGCTCGACTCGCTGACTCAGTCGGTGCGCCGCCAGTCTCATCATCATCGCATCGTGCTCCTCCTGTCCTTCCTTCATTGCGTCCTAGGGTCTTGTCATTCGGTCCGGTACCCATTGCCCGAGACAGCTTGTCTGTATGGTCTGATACACCGAGCCGCCGCTAGACACGGTCAGCAGCTGTGTCGTCAGGGTCTTTCGAGCGACTGACGCGGACGCGGCACCCTTCTTGCATCCTTACCGTCTTACCGTCTGGACATCCTTGAAATTCCGCCGTGTTGTTTTGGGCGGGCCCAGGCTCGGCGCGTCACACGCCGCACGTCTCAAGCACTGACTCAAGCACTGCGACTCAAGCACTCAAGCACGTCGAACTGCACCGCCACATTGCACCACTGCACCCCTATGACAGCGCACCACCTAGCCATTACCACGCACTACAGTAGCCATGACATCACTGTTTGGGGTCCACGCTGGTAGACCACAATAGACTCACTGTTTGGGGTCCACGCTGGTAGACATGCACTCACTGTTTGGGGTCCGGGGTCCAGACACACCAACGAACCGTCGGTCCGGACAGCCACTTTGGCTCGAGCGCCCTGCCCGACGGCCGGCCCCGGCGCCCTCGCCGACGCCCGAGGCCCGACACCTTCGCCGCCTGTCGTGCGTTCGCACGCCGCGATGGAGGCCACCGCCACCGCCGCCACGGCCGCCACCGCGTTCATCGAGGTCACGGGTTCGGTCCGCGGCTTGAACAAGATCAGCATCTTCTGCAAGGAGTTCAACAGCTGGGTGCCTTGCCTAGCAGAGGCCGGCACCAACCCATCGTGGCAGAACGGCGTCGAGGTGGCCATGATCAAGGATGCGATCAAGCGGGACTATTCTTTCTACAGTGGCTCCAAGGTCCACATCTACTCATTGGGCTCGGACGAGCCCTCTGACGTGCTGTTCGAGATGTGGGACGAGTACGTGCTCGCGAACTTCACCAAGACGAAACTGCTCGCCACGCTGCAGGAGCCCGACGTCATGCTGTCACCGCCGCCAGTCAGTGAGGGTGGCGGTGAGTCTCCAGGGCCATCGCCCTCGATGCTGAGCGTGGCGTCGGGCCTCGACATCGAGCCGCACTTGATGTTCCAGGTGAAGATCCAGGAGACTGGTGAGTGGCCGCCCGTCGCGGTTCCAAACCCTAGGCTGCTCGACCCGAAGTACGACGGCCATGGTGTGCGGGTGTTGGCCTTGAAGAAGTGCATCGTGTCGCAGCTGGCCTTGCCTAGCGGGCGCGACCGGTGCAACCAGGTGCGGATCTTCCGCAACTCGAAGGGTCACTGCAAGGGCCATGCGCTGAAGAGCAACGACATGGTGTGGCACAACCTCTGGTACGTCGCGCTCCTGCTGCCGACCACCGAGCCCAACTACGGGCATGACGAGCGCGACGACTTGGTCGAGGGCTTCAACCACGTGGACCACGTGGACTCCGACATCTGCGGCTACGAGATGGACGGCCCGCAATGATGATCGAGGCTGCCGTTGCTTGGACGGCCGCCGAGCTCGGCTGCTGCGCGGGGCATCGCGCCCCGGCCCGTCGCTCCCGCCGCTTCTTGTCCCCGCCGGGCTGTTCAGCTCTTTCTGCGTCTCCCTCTGGAGGTATGACAGGGGTACGGTATAACGGGGTGTGGTGGTGCTAAGTTCGTGTCATGTCGCTGTTATGTATCGCGGATCGCACGCGGATCGCATCGCCATTTCCATGATTTGCACCACACCCCTTTATGCCACACCCCTTTCCGACCTCCATACTCACCTCCCGGTTGAGGGGGACATGCAGCACTTTGCCCTATGGGGGGGGCCCGCTCACACCAGTGCACCAGTGCACGTACCATGTGCCCGAGGAGCATCTTCATCATCATCGTCATCATCCGCTCACATGCACCCCTCCTCCACCATCATCATCATCCGCTCCGCTGCTGGAATGATCGAGCTCGGAAATGCGTTGCATCCTATGCACAGCTGTACCTACATGCGTGTAGTATGACTATCGTGATATATATATATATATATATATATCTATATATATATATCTATACGCATACACATGTGTATACATATACGTGTACATACATACATGCATATACGTATTATTAGATATATCGAAGAAGCCTATCATCGACACCAGTATGCACATCATGATGTGATATTCTCTGCCAGGAGGCACCTTCTGACGTGATGGTCCATGTCAGGAGGTACCTCCTGACGAGCATGTCCAGGTCAGGAACCGCCTCCTGACGTGATGGTCTCTGTCAGGAGGCAACTCCTGACGTGCGTATCTACGTCAGGAGATACCTCCTGACAAGAGAGTCCCTGTCAGGAGGTACCTCCTGACAGGAGGGTCTGTCAGGAGGCACCTCCTGACGGGAGGGTCCCTGTCAGGAGGTACCTCCTGACAGACGGGCCCCTGTCAGGACGCACCTCCTGACAGGGGGGGGCTGTCAGGATATACCTCCTGACATGAAGGTCTGTCAGGAGGTACCTCCTGACGGGATGAGTCCTGTCAGGAAGCACCTCCCGATGTGATGGTCTCTGCCAGGATGTACCTCCTGACGTGTGTGCCTCTGTCAGGAGGTACCTCCTGACATGATCATATGTGTCGGGATGTACCTCCTGACAGGATCGTACCTGTCAGGATGCACCTCCTGACGACATGTCTCTGTCAGGACGCACCTCCCGACGGACGATTCCCTGTCAGGAGGTACCTCCTGACGACCGTGTCCTTGTCAGGAGGCACCTCCTGACGTGACGGTCCCTGTCAGGAGACGCTTCCTGATGATTAGGTACTTGTCAGGAGATGCATCCTGACGGGATGACCTCTGTCAGGAGGTGTCTCCTGACGTGCATGTACATATCAGTCCGCACATCCTGACACGAGAGTCCCTGTCAGGAGGCACCTCCTGACGGGACGGTGTGTCACGATGTACCTCCTGACGGGATGGCAACTGTCAGGAGGTGCCTCCTGACGTACGGGCCACTGTCAGGACGCACCTACATGGAGGTGGTGCATACCAGGAGGCACCTCCTGGTGCACGGGCCTATCAGGAGGCACCTCCTGACGTGATGTTCCCTGTCAGAAGGCACCTCCTGATGTGATGGCCCCTGTCAGGAGGTACCTCCTGACGGGAGTGTCGTTGTCAGGGGGTGCCTCCTGACGGTGGTGAGGGTGATGACGAGTCACTGTCAGGACGCACCTCCTGACGGGATCGGACCTGTCAGGAGGTACCTCCTGACGTGCGGACCTGTCAGGAGGTATCTCCTGACGGGATGGTAGTTGTCAGTATGCACATCCCAACCTACATGTCCCTGTCGGGAGGCACCTCCTGACAGGGCGGTTCATGTCAGGAGGTACCTCCTGACGAGCATGTCCATGTCAGGAACCACCTCCTGACGTGATGGTCTCTGTCAGGAGGCAACTCCTGACGTGCGTATCTATGTCAGGAGGTACCACCTGACACGAGAGTCCCTGTCAGGAGGTACCTCCTGACAGGAGGGTCTGTCAGGAGGCACCTCCTGACGGGATGGTCACTGTCAGGAGGTGCCTCCTGGCGGACGGGCCCCTGTCAGGACGCACCTCCTGACAGGGAGGGGTTGTCAGGAGATACCTCCTGACATGAAGGTCTGTCAGGAGGCGCATCCTGACGTGACGATCCCTGTCAGGAGGCACCTCCCGACACGATGATTCATGTCAGGAGGTACATCCCGACGATGATGGTACGTGCATTCCCGACATCTACATATATACATAAACATATTCATATGTATATATCTATATCTATATATATATATACATACATATATACAAACATCTTAGATTTTCACACACAGATGTACTTACATTATTGTAGTATATACAGCTGTGCATAGGATGCACCGCCATCAGCAATCTTCGCTCTCATTTCTGACGCCATCGCATGACGAGGTTCAGGCTGGCCTATGTTTGGAGCGAGATGCAGGATGCAGGTTGCTCCAATTGCAGTCAACCCACATAGTCGGGGTCGGGGTTACACACTTTCCCACTGACACCCTCGCATCCTCCAGTTGTGCCGTTGCATCCTTGCACCCGTGCGCCCCCACTGGCACCCTTGCGCCCTTGCACCGTAGGATCTCGTCGACATGCCCCCCCCCCCCCCGCCCGCGCAAGGTCCTTGCATCCTTATCGTGCATCAGTATTTTCCGGGTATACACACGTGCACGTATATACATCCACCACTCGCCATTTTTTGGCTCCGTTGTTGTGATGGCGAAGCGCGGCACAACCATCGCTCCAGCCGCCAAACGCCCGCGGCGGACGACCGCCACGGCTGCGCCCAAGCTGCCGCCCGATGTCGTGTCGCCGCCGGTGCCTGCGGCGACAGCTGCGCCCGCCGCGGCACCATCGCCTTCGGCTGTGCCGAAGTTTGGGCTGCCGACTCGCGATGGCATGGCATCGTTGTTCGGGGCCACGCCTGGTATGACGGCCGAGGATGCTGCCGCGTGGCGTGAGTTGAAACACCGCCCGTCGTAACTGTGGATGATGCCGCGGCGTCTGCCGGCGATGAGGCGGCCGCGCTGACTGCCGCCAACCGCGCCATCGCCGCGATGGAGGCTGCGGAGGCTGGGCGCAGCTCCACGGCCGCGCTATCAGGCGTCATCCGCGATCCCGAGCCGCCGCCCGCGAGTCCAGCGGTGCCAGCATCGGTACCACTCACGGTGGATCCGCCCACGCAGCAGCCTGATGGTCCAGGAGTTGTGGATGCGCCCCCTCCGACCAAGACGACGTCGTCTGGTGTCGTGCTTACCCCAGAGCAGTTGCGCAAGATTGAGGCGAATCGGCAAGACGCTCGTCGGCGTCGATTGCAGCTTCGGGGTCTGTCATCAGATGCGGCCTCGTCGCCTGCGCCACCTGATGCTGCGGCCACCGTCGCCGCCGCAGACCCAGCCTCCGCCGCGGCCGCGGCGTCGCCCGGCCCGCCAGGTGCAGCCGCGGCAGCTAGCCCGACCCCGTCGTGGCGAGCTCAGGGCGCCGACGCCGCCAGCGAACTGCTCGCTCGTGCTCAGTCGCCGGCGAGCGCTGCGACGTCTCCGGCACCACCCGCTCCAGCTGCGCCTGGCACGACGACGCCACCGTCGCCCGCCGTGCAGCCAGGTGTACCGGACCACGCTGCAGTGGCTGCGCAGCCTGACCCTTGCAGCCACCCCGCGGCCCGCGTCGGTGACGCCGCCGCCTCCGACGACCTGCCCGCCGTCGTCATCCCGCCACCCGCGCAGCCCGCCGCCGACCAGTCTGGCAACGCCGACGCTGCGCCCGCGCCTGACGGCATCATCCCGCCACCCGCGCAGCCCGCCGCCGGCCAGTCTGGCCAGTCTGGCGACGCCGACGCTGCGCCCGCGCCGGCTGTATCGCCTGTATCACTGCCCGCCCCTGCGACGGTGTCATCGTCGCCGCCGTCGGCAGCTGTGGCACCGCCCTCGGTGGCTGCTGCCACGCCGCCCGTGGGTGCACCTGGCGGCGAGGCGGCTGGCGCGCCCGCAGACGCGGACGTGGAAGACGACGACATGCCGCTCTCCACCTACGTGCCGACTCCCGCGCAGCCTGCGCCATCGGCGAGCGCGGCCACGCCGGCCACGCTACCGCAACCGCCGCCACCACCGCCGCAGCCCGCCCGCCCAACCTCGCGGCCGCACCGTGGGCGATTGCGCCAGGCGGCGCGGTCGTCGATCACGGCGGCGCGCGGCCCAGATGCCCACCCGTCCGCTCGTGCTGATGAGCTGCGCATGCCGGCGTTCGACGCCGAGACGGTACCGGCTCCTGCGCAGTCCCCTGACGCTGCCTACGCCGCCTACGTCAGGCACGATCGCCGCGTGTGCAGGGACCTGCAGGACTCCTACGAGTGGGCGTCCGACGCCCTGGCCGAGATCGCGTCCACCGACGGGGAGGAGATGCTGGAGTACCTCGCAACGATGATGGACGGCGACACCCGCTCGACGGCCTATTCTGGAGTTGGCGCGCCAGAGTGCGCGGTCGCCATCTTGTACAAGACGCTGTCCGAGCGTCTGGGCCGCACGTTCCGCAAGCCGCAGCTGCTGTGCGCGATCGAGTGGGACCCTGACTGCCAGCGCGAGCTGTCCATCATCCTGGAGGACCGCACGTGGCACATCCATGCGACACATCTATATAATTATATATATATATGTATATCGTATATGAGTATACTACCCATACCTCACCCCTCCGATCTCCTCCCCTCCCCCTCCGCCTTCCTCCTCGCTCTCCTCGCTTGCTCACACTTCTCTCCCCCCCCCCCATGCCACCCTGCCTCCCACCATCCCACTCCCCTCCTCTCCTCCCCCCCCTCCCCGCAGCGACAGGACTCCGACGGGTGCCTCTTTGGCGACATCTCGGAGTTCTTCGTGAGCGAGCTGGCGCAGGACGTGCAGAACCTGCGCAGCATGCCCGAGCGCGCGGCGCAGGCTCGGCCCGATCATATCCCATCTCCCACACCCCGCCCTCCCCATCCCAGGCGTGCATAGTAACGGTCCCTCCCTTGAGTTATGGTTTCGCGGTCCGCGTGCCCGATACCGTTGCTGGGCCTCCGTGGGCCCGTCGGGGAGCGTTCTGGGACATGATGCTGCTGTTTCGCAGTGCAGTCCTGGCAGTTCGTATGATGAGGCCTTCCGGGGGCCCACTTGGGATCGTTTCTGTGCCCCTCCCCCCTCCCCTCCCCTCCTGGATCCTCCGCTCCTCCACTCCTCCACCCACTCCCTGGGTGCCACTCCCTTACCCCGCCCCACACCTCCCCGCTCCTGCCCGCTCCACCCTCTTGCCTGTGCTAGCCACCCCGCTCGCCGGCCCACCCGTCATCGGTCATCGCTGCGCCGCCATAGGTCCTCACCCCCCTCATCAAGGACGGCGCGGCCGTCTGTCGCTCTGGGTATTGCCTCCGCCATCGACGTCGGTGTTCCCTTCGCGTGGCTCGTCATCACACTGCTGGTGCCCCGCGCTGCTCGTCGCCGTGGCGTCGTGCTCGCCGTCGCGTCGGCCGCCGTGACGTCGCGTTGTCGCCAGTCGACTCGACTGGCGACACCGCGACTGACGAGTCGAGACGACGGCTCGACCCGACTCGACTGGCCGTCGAGTCGTGCCGTCGGCTCCTCGGCTCGTCGCTACCCCTCCCGGCCCTGCCCCCCCCCCCCTCCTTCGGTACGAGCTGCAAAGCTCACTCGGCGCAGGGGCGGCGCGAGGGCGTCAACCACGCGCCCATCGTTGACACGCTGGCTTGGCGTGCTCTCCGGCGCTTGCTGCAAGAACCCGAGGTCGACCAAGAACATGTGGAAGGGTTTCCGACGTCTCTGCTCGAGGAGCTGCTCGGCGACCTTCATCGCATAGACTGGTGCGTGCTGGATCCTCGGCAGTTCGGGTGGCCGATCGTGCGGACCAGGACACGATTTCCGTTGGACTTGGTCGGCTGGCGTCACCCGTCCCGTCTCACTTGGAGGTTGGCTCCTGCGTAGCCGGGTGTAGCCCCCGGGCCCCAGCCCGCCCCAGCCCCGCCGCGCCCACCTGCCGCCGCGCCAACTTAATCGCGCCCGGAGGAAATGGACCAAGCTGCGCCACAAGCAGAAGATCTTGTCTACCATATCGCCGCTCGCGAACTTCAGCAGGCGGTTTCATCGCATGGGCTGCTTCTCCTGGCGCGCGTACTCGTTCCTGCACAGGTATTCGGCGCTGCCCGACGAGGACCGCGTTGAGGTGCACCCCACCGTCATTCCTGACGAGCTGCAGAGCGACCTCAGGTGGGCACAGTCGCGGCCATCGTCCCTCGGGTCTCTCCAATGTCCCGCCCGCCCGCGCCCAGATTGCGAGGCCCATGCGGCGGGCCCATGCGCGCCCCGGGCCCCGCCCCGCTCTCCATCCATTCGTCGGCCTGGCCCGCTCGCCCCCGCTCTCTCCCGCCACCGCGCGCCTCGCAGCGCCAGGTCTCGGAGCTGCGGCGCCGCTGCCCTGGCCCCGTTCGACGCCGACGCTTGGTGCAAGAGCTTGTCTGACTGGGAGATCGACAACCTCGACGCCTACCGCGCATCGTACCCGCTGGGCGCCTGGCAGATCAACCAGGACTGCGCGAAGCACACCCTCAAGACGACCAGCTCGGACTTGCACACGCTCATCTCGAACGTGGGCCTGATCTTCGCCGACAGCATCAACCCGTTCAACACGGTCAGTCCGTCGTGTCGGGAGTCGTGTCGCGTCGGCCTTGTCGACCCAGATCTGGGCGGCGATCGGTTCACGTTGCTATCGTAGGAGCGGGAGGGGCTCCCGCCCATATGATAGCATCGTACCGATCGCGACCCGCCCGATCGCATCGCATATCGGTCGCCTGCCCAGGTGAGTGGCAGGTGGTCGATGGCGCCGCGGCGCTGGCTGTCACCGACGGAGTCCCTGGTGGCCCAGGGCTTCCCCGTCCATCCCCACTTCCCTCGCCGTGCTCCCGGGGAGTTGCTGTGCAGCTTCAACGCCGCGAGGTCGGATCGCACCCCCCGCACGGTGGGCTCGCAGTCGGGGAACGCGATGCACGTCAACGTCGCAGGTACCGCGTGTCAACGCACTGCTACGCATTGTATCAGTCCATCCACACATCATCTCAATCATCTCGTCATCACACGGCGTACGTCATGCCCCCCCCCCCCCCGCCATATCGTCATCGCCCCCATGGTGCTCACGTTAAATATATCTTGGAGCATATCACCCCTCGCATCTCGCATGGGATGCCCCCCCCCCCCGTCCACCGCCAGGCATCGTTGCATTGGACGGCTACCTGAACGCCCGCTACGTTGACACCGTGCTGATGGACATCGTGGCGGTCAACGTGCGCCTCGCTGCCAACGAGATTCGGCGGCGTCGTCACGGCCTCCCAGTCAAGCGCGTGACGTCCAAGACCGCGCACCCGCGCAGCCACGGCGCGTAGCTGGGTGAGCAGGCGCGCGCTCGCCCACGCGCCCACCCCCTCGTCGTCACGTCACTCCGGCTTGGGCCCGCCCCACTCTCTCCCCCCACGTACATTAGACGGGGAGGGTGTAGGGATCCCCACCATGCCATGTCCGCATTCCAGTCCATGTGCCATATGGACCATATATGGACTCCATGGACCGCGGGACGGTGGAGATCCCGCCGCCCCCCACCTACCCTATCTAATGTACGTGAGTTGCCCCTGAGACCCCTGAGAGGCTGCCTGGGCCGCCCGCGGCTGCCGCACTGGAGCCGCCCGGCGCGGCGCTGGCGGTGCGACGAGCCCGCGCTCGCCGCCGCCGGTAGCTGCGACCAGCGATCGCCGATCACCCGCGTGCGCGCGCGTGCGTGTGTATGAGTGTACGGTTACCATGCTGCATGACAGTGGTGACCACAGAGCGCGCGCGTGCCATGTGCGTGCGTGGGTGTCCCGAGGCGGCGGCCGCTAGCTAGTCAGATTGCTGCGCCTATCCCTGGCCCTGGATTCCCCGTTTAGGCTGCGCAGGCTCGCGACCTGTCGACGCACTGTGCGACTGTGCGACTGTGCGAGGTCTGCGAGCTCGCTCGGCATGCTGTTACAGATGCATGCTGCTCTGCGGCTGTGTGGGCAATCCATATTTGGCCCCAGCAGGGCAGGACCCGCGTGCGCGACCATTCAGAGTCAGTTGTGAAACGATGGCCTCCCGCTCGCCGCTGTCTCGGGCGCCACGGGCTCCACGTCTGATCATGCGCAGCGCATAATTTAAGGACCCTGAGCCACTTGAGCCACATCGGTTCTCCTCTGAGCCTCGCCCCGCCATCACCAGCATCCATCCGCCCCCCCCCCTCCCCCTCCCACCACCCCTCCGGAGCACATCTCCTCTCGCCTCCTCGCCCCGCCCATGCCCGTCCACCGTGCACCCCCCCCCTCCACTCCACCCCTCACCGCCCCCTTCTTCATATCATCTCAGCTCCCGCCCACCGCGCCTCTCAATATCACTCTACATCGCTTCCTCGCTTCACTCGGGCCCGACCGCGCACGCCGACCTGTTGAGCGGGGGGGGGCGCATTCTCCCTGGTTGTTGTGTAGCCTTTGGCGCACTGCCGCGGCTCGAGTGCCGCATTCAGGCCGAGTGTTCGGCGGGCCAGTCAGGCCCGCGTGGCCTGGGGATCCCGCCCCGCGGGGCCCACCCCACCACTGCCACCGATGGCTTCCCCCAGGGGCACCGCCAAGAAGCGCCCCGCCGCTGGGCAAGTACCGCCGTCACTTCTTGCGACGCATCCCGACGCCGCCAACGCCCAGAGCATGCGTGAATTGTTCGGAGACGTGGACGGGAGCATCATGCTCGACCGTTTTTGGGAGCGCTTCGATGCAGGTTCCTTTGGGAGTGGGTGGGTAGTGTGTGTGGGCGCCCTCGGTTGAACGCTGTTCATACGACAGTGAAACTTAGACGTTCCACGATGACGGCTTCCGACATCGGGACGCGTCGCAACCCTACTTGCGCCCTCTTCGGGGGGTGGGGGGGGTGCGCAAGGTGAGTGCGAGTTTCGTGGCCACGATTGCAGCGATCGCACCGATCCCTCTGGTCTCCAGGTTACGCAGACATCCGCTGGTTCGTCACATCGGCTTCTTCTCCGGCGAGGGGCGCACATGCTGAGCCCGTCGAACGCGCTGTCAAGTCGTCTCCATTCAACCGTGGGTTGAGTGAGACTGTGGTTGAGGACCCGTTCTGTGCAACCTGTGCAAACTATATCCGTTGACCCCGCCCGTCGGTCCCGTCGGTCTCTCACCCGGCCGATCGCCTGCTTGATCGGTTTTGATATCTGACGAGCAGGACTACAAGAACCGCATCTTGACGAGCGGCCTGAACCTCGGTTGCCGCGGTGAGGCGTGGCTGCACTACTCGAACAAGGGCCCTGCTGTAAAATCAAATTCCACCACCGTCCACCGTCCCCTGAAACCAATACATTATCCCACCGTCCCCGATCCTCCCTGGCCACCTCCTCCACCTCAGCTCCCCCGCTCCACCTCCGCCTCCGCCAATCCCTACGGAGCCTGAGAGCCTGAGTTGTAGTGCTGAGTGTGGTGCTGTGTGTGGCATAATTTACATCAGCCATCAGCTCAGGAGCGGGCCATGCCGGTGTACGCCGTCACGTTCAACCATTTGTCCGAAGCGTTCTACAGGGCGCACGCTGAGGACACACCGCCTCGCGCCCAAGGTATAACCTTCCCATCGTGTGGTCCTTGGGACCGCAGTCCTGGACGCCCCCCCTCCCCCGCCCCCGTGTCCCGGGGCCATTGGGGGGCAGTGCGCGTCGCGGCGTGTCCCAGCCGTTCGCAGGACCCCGGCGACATTTACGTCCAGTCGGCCTTGCGGAAAAACGTGCGGGCGCGGATGATCAAGCACGAGACGCCTGGGTTTGCGCTAGAGTGGGCGTGCAACTTCCACAACACCTATCACCAGGGTAGCCGCCCGACGTTCATGCAGGCGATCTTGCTTGCGTTGAAGCTCGAGGCGGCCTGGCAGGCGCACGCGGACAAGAAGCAGATCCCCACGTCCGGGAACCCTCAGTACGAGAAGCTGTACGAGGAGTTCGTTGAGCTGCGTCGAAAGGAGGAGGTCAAGACGGCCGACACGCGGAGCAGTCAGCTGCATTCCTGGAAACATTTGTGCAATACCAAGGCCTTCGCGCACAATTTGGAGCGCTATGGGATATTCGAGGCGTTCCAAGAGTGGACCCGCCTTTACGTAAACTTTTTGGACGAGTCGATTAACAATTTCACGGTGATCAACATCATGCACTCGTGGACCCTCAGCGTGATCGCCTCGCTCGGCAAGTACTGGCCCAAGCCGGTCGTCGGCGCGTTCATCCTCGAGGGCTTGAAGTTCTGCGTCCCCCTCCCCGAGAAGATGTCCACGAAGCAGAGCGCCGGCCAGCGGCGCATCCCGTGGATATTCCAGGCGTCGCATGTCATATCAAACGATTCCAGCAGATCAGATCAGCGATCCGTTTCTTCGACGTCGCGCGATCCAGCCAGATCAGATCGGCCCGATCGGCATCTTCGTTTCCTCGCCGGTCCGTTCGGTTGCCATTTCGGCAGTCGGTTGCGTCGGCGTCGGCGTCGGCCTGACGGTCCGACGGTCTGGCCGGCCTGGGGTGGGGTCGGGGTCGTCTCCCCCTCCTGTGTCGTGGCTCCCGAGCAGGCACCCTCGCAGCGCACGGGCGATCTGTTCAAGCTCATCCTGACACCGATGCGCGAGTCAGTTGCAGCCAAGAAGCTCATCGAGAAGTACGAGAAGCAGGCTGACGTCGCGGCGAGCGCGGCTGCCGATGCTGCTGCAGATGCCACGGCCACGCCCCCTGCCGATCCTGGCTCCGTGCTCGACGGCCTCGGCGGCGGCGGCGCTCCTCCTGTAGGCAACGGCGGCTTTGTTGCCCCGCCAGCCTCGAAGAAGCGCCGCAAGGGCAAGGGCAAGGGCAAGGGCATCGCGCCCGGCCAGGCGGCGCCGCCTGGGACTGCGGCGGCGGTCACCGTCAATGCTGAGCAGTTCGTTGTCATGACGCATCCGATCGTTGCGTCCGACTCGGCGATGGAGCGCCCGACGACAGCTGCTGACGACCTGATGCACTCGGTCGAGTACCATTGCCACGGCGCATCCGATGACTGTCGCGAGAAGGTCAGGCAGACGGTCGTCTCGCTGTTCCTCCAGTTCACCTTCTCGAAGGGCGTCGCCATGAACGCCAAACTCGTGAAATCGCACAGCAAGTTCAGGGATGAGGCGGTGGTGCTCATGAAGCTTAGCTGTCCTGTCCGCGCTGCTGCTTCTTCGGGCGGCGGCGCCGCGCTGTCGAAGGATAACCTGGCGGAGTTCGCGGCCGCCGACCCCGAGCGCCTCGCACAGGAGCTGGTGGCCCGCTGCAGCAGGCCCGTCGAGGAGACCGTCGGCGGTGGCGACGACGGCGACCTCTCGCTCGAGGATGTTAAGGCGATGGTGACGGCGGTTTCCGCAGACATCAACACGTTCGTCGTCGCGAACGCCCACTTACCGACTACGATGCACGCGCAGCTTGGCAGCCTCATGCGCGCGGCAGCCACGCTCGACTCCTTCGACTTGGCTGCGTTCGTCAGCGTGATCGACCAGCACCTGCCATTCGCGTGTTTCGAGGCAGCGTCGGCCGTGTCGGCTTTTGCATCCAAGGCGGGATCACTCCCGAGCTTCGTGACTTCGTTATTCCCGACGCAGACCGCGCTCGAGGCGTTCCTCCGCACGCGCGCGTGCTACGTGGCGGCCACTCTCCACTCGCTGTTCGTCATGAAGAAGCTACCGACTGACATCACGCCTGGCATCGTCCAGCTCAAGAGCGCGTTCATCGATGACCCGGCCCTTCTCTCAGACACGATGTGGGCCACGTTCATTGGCCTCGAGGCTTCTACCAACGATGCGGTGAAGTGGCAAGCGGTATGGTCGACTGTACTCAAGTGCGATTCGTCAACGGAGCTCCGGGGCGCCATCTCGCGCATGAAGTCGACCGCTATCAGCGCAGCCGAGCAGGTGCATCGGGCGTCGACCGCCACCGGCGAGGCGACACTGCCACCCCCGCTGGCGGACGCGACTGGCAGTGCTGTCGCCGCCGCGCCGCCCGCCGCGGACGCAGGCGCCGCTGCTGCGCAGACTGAGGCCCAGGCCATCGCTGACGCGCCTGGCGCGGTCGGCGCGGTCGGCGGCTGTGCGCCGGTGGTTGGGAGCCGCGCGGACGGGAGCTCTTCGATCGAGGTCCCTGTGCGGCAGCTGTGCAACTACTTCGCGCCGCAGCTTCGCGCGACGCCACGCGCGTTGAGCGATTCCGACATGGCCAAATCGCTCAACATCGAGGTCGACGGCTTGCTTCTCAAGGCGGTCGAGCGGTCGATGGAGTCGCTGCTGTGGAAGACGTTCCGCGAGTCGGGGTGCGCCTGCTTCCACGGCGAGCAGCCGATCAGCACCAACGCCCTGTCCGATCACAGCGGGCTGGGCGGCTTCAACAGCATCTCGCTCGTCCTCGAGGAGAAGAACAAGACCTCGCTGGTGTGGACCCCGCCTGTGCTGTGCGAGGGCTCTACGGACGCGGTGAGCGGCAGCCCAATCCAGGGGGCCAATCCAATCCATCCATCATTCATCATCTCATCATCTGTCATCACATCCTACCCCTCCGCCCCCTCCGCATCCCCGCCCCCCGCATCGGCTCCTCGTGCAGCCTCCTGTGATCATTCCTCATTCCGTGCAGTGCGCCCCGCCACATCATTCCGAACCCACCCCCTCCCCTCCTCGTGCAGGGGGGGAGAGGCGAGAGGGAGCGGCGCGGGACAGGGCGGGCATGTCGACACGTCCCCCCCTCCAAAGAAAGGCGAAGCTGTGCCTCCAGTACGTCGGCCCGGTGAGCCTCACCAGGAAGGACGCCGCGTCGTTCATCCTGTGCGAGGCGCGGTCATCGGGCCCCCTCCCGCGCTCCGAGCCCTCCACGCTCCCGCGCACACCCTCCTCGTCCCCAGCCAGACCCCAGTTCAACCTCCCTAATCGTTAAGTTAAGTCCCTACTCACTCCTCCTCCTCGTCCTCCCTACCGGCCCTACCGCCGTGCCATCGTACCATTGGCCCTACCAGCCTACCAGCCGCGCTTCCCTCGGTCCCAGGGACCGAGGGAAGACCGATGCACTAATGCTGAGTGGCCGAGGGACTGTTCCCTCAGCCACTCAGCATGCGTTCATCCCTTCCGACCGTCTCGTCCGATCGTCATTCGTCTCGCCGCCGCCGTCGTCGGTCGTCGCCGCCAGGTGTTCGGCGTGCCCCTCTACCTCAACCCGCCGAGCGCCGCCAATGTCATTAATGGCCAGTTCCCGGAGCTCGCGTGGTACATCAAGTCTGTCGCCAAGGCCGACTAGGCGGTGCTGATGAACGATGCCCTGATCTTGCCTGTGTTCATTGATAAGGACGGCCAGTGCGACACTGTCGACGGCACGAGCGAGCCCGACGATTACAAAATGGTCAAGGTAAATGTCAGCATCCCGAGGCTCCCGAAATCCGAATGTCGATTCCCGAGTATCGATCGTCGGGCGTTGTGTGGTACCCCCCATCCGAGCCCCGGGAGCACGGCAGCCCACGTTTCCAAATCCGTCGGATCCCGGGTCAGGGTCTCGGTTCGGATGCCGACGGGCCGACGGGCTGACGGGGGGCGGGGATGTGAGGTGGGCGGTGGGCTGTGACGACCAGACGGGGGATCGGGTCTCTTATGTTATGCAGTGGGGCCGGCGGGGGAGCCCGTGATTAAATTCGACCTCGCCCATCCACCCCTTCGCCCTTCCCCCATCCGTCGACAGGGGGGATGCGGGTATCTCAGATCTCATCCAACGGGTCGACTGGGAGAGCCCGTGATTACATCCGACCTCGCCGCGAAATCAGATTCACGGGTTTAGTCGCGGGCTCTCTCTGTCTGTCCCTTGGGTGAGATACGGACCTCGCCCACCCCCCCCTCTTTCATCGAACGGGCCGTCGTGCCCGTGATTAGATCCGACCTCACCCATGTCCCCGCCCCCCCTTCCCCCGTCACTCGACAGGGGACTGGGGTATCTCAGGGCCGACGGGGGGAGGGCACGCGGCTGTTCGCACTCTGCCCCAGCCCAGGCTCATCTCCAAGCACCTCAGCGGGGAGGTCGGCCCGATCGCTCTGACGCGTGAGACGACCGAGGCCGAGCGCGCTGCCAAGCAGCGCGCGCAGTTGGCCAAGAAGGCACCGGGCGGCGCGGCGAGCCTCTACCCCCCCACAGTGGGGGGCGCCGTCGCTGTGCAAGCAGCGCACGCCGCCCACGGCGGCGGCGTCGCGCCACCGTCCAAGGCGACGGCGTCAGCGCGCGCCGCGGACGCGGTGTGCAATAAGCACATGCTCAAGTAGCATTGGTGCCGACAACGACGCAGAGGAGATCGAGGAGAGGAGTGAGGGGGGGGGAGGACGGATGAGGAGGACGGCTGACGCGGAATGAGCTGCGATACAGTGGGTGGGTGATGCAGCGATGCAGGTCGAGGAGATGAGGGAGAGGAGGGGGGGGGGGATGAGGGAGGACGAGACACGACGACACGCGATGAGAATATTGTGCATGATCGGTGATATGATGAGGGAGGCATCAGGGCATCAGGCATCAGGGAGGTCGGTCGATGATATGATGGGTGTATGAATCCATGAGGGAACGACAGTGGCGACGGCGGCTGTGTATAGAATCGGCGTCGGGGAGCAGCCTGCCAGTGTTTCGCACACTCCCTACTCCCTCTCTGCCATGCCGCCCGCACTTCCTATGCGCGCCCTCACCCGCCCACAATGCTCCGCTCCGCACCCGTCGCTCGCATTCCCAATTCTGCTTGCTCGCTCCCACCCACACTCTCCCCTCGCCACTCGCACCCGCCGGCGACGGCGGCATGCTGCTCCCCGACGATCCCGCGGCGCAGCGGCAGGGGGAGCAGGCCTTCGGGCTGCGCCCATGGCCCACGCCGGCGGGCCGCGGCCGCCGCGGTGCGCGCGCCCGAGCGCGCCGCCGCGGCCAGGCGCGATCCCCGCCCGCCTCGTCCACCTACTCCTGACCTCGTCGGCCCCCTCACCTCCTCACCACACTGCCGCGGTGCGCGCGCCCGAGCGCGCCGCCGCGGCCAGGCGCGATCCCCGCCCGCCTCGTCCTCCTCACCTACTCCTCACCTCGTCGGTCCCCTCACCTCCTCACCACACTCCCTGGGGTTTCGATTGTTGGACCGCCCCATTCCCGTCCCTTTCGCCCTGTATCCGTTTCTGATGACCCTGGGGGTCCGACGATGCCCACCCCTCCCTCCCCTCATCCTTCCTCCCATGGGGACCGAGCCCCGCGCCGACCGATGCCATCGACGCCGCCCTCCCGCCGCCCTCCCACCCGCCCTCGACCGACCGGCGATCTCCCTTTCCATTCCATTCCAGTGGTGCTGCTGTTTTGTAATTTTGTTTTAGGATGTTAGGCGGCGGGCGTGCGTGGCGTATCTACGCACGCCCACGGCGCGTCGCCCAGTCCGACGCCCCGCCCGACGCCTACTACCAGAGGGCCCGATGCCCGACGCGCCGCCCAGCGCTCGAGAAACGCATGCAGCCCCCGCCCCCCCCGATGCGATGCTCAGTCGAACGTGCCCTATCTAGTGGCCTTCGGTCTATCCCGCCGTCGCCCCTGGGGATCTCATGTATGCTGGTTGGGGTCTCGTGGTTGGCCTCTCGAGTGTCTCTGGGGGGCAGTGTCAGAGCTTTCTTACACGTGATGACGCGGTGACGGCTACGATTATGATGTAGATGCCAACGAATTTGAATGTGTTAGCGTCTTCGACGCGTATGCTGTCCATCATGCGTTTGCGGTTTTAATCAGTTCGACCGTCGCGTTCAAACGGTCGTCAGGAGGTCTCCCCGTGGCGACCTCCTGACGCGACGTGTTACGCGGAATCCTTTGAAGTGGACGTCCCTAGAAATGCACCACCACCACCACCCCAGACCACCCTCTGCCTCCATGCTCCAGGTGGTGGTTGTGGTGCGCGTCATTCTCCCTAGACGGGCAACCTTCCCCAAGGTACCCTTGCATCTTTGCCCCTTCGGCCCATCCTTAGCGACCTTCGCTGGCCAGCATCGTTCGCAAAACGTCGATGCGGCTCTCCAAGGTCCTTGCATCCTTACCGCGCATCCTTACTATACGGGCTGACTGTATGGATTCGTTCTGCAAGCCCCCTTGGGAAAGACGTGAGGAGTGCTCCTAAGTAGCACGTGGCTCAATTCTTGGCTCAAGGGCAAAGTGCAGGCTGGCGGCCGAGCGTCCGCCCGGGAGCGGTCGTGGAAGCACTCCGAGAGGCGAGCGGACACGAGATCTGCACCGCGGAAGGCACGGCTACGACGCCGATGCGCACGGGCACGCTCGCTGCTGCAGCGGCTTCCCTGCTGTCTGCTCCGGTGCACTCCGCAGCATACAATCAGACGCTGGCGGTCTGGTACTCGGGGGCCCCCAAACGGGGTGATGACCGCACCGTGTGGTGAGTCGGTGGGGATTCGGGGGCACCGCACGGTTTTGGGACGCGGGCCGTTCTCCGAGGATGTCCCGGGCGACTGGAGCCTCCAGGATCCCAGAACCGTTGTCGAGGCCACCGCACGGTCTGTCGCCGCACCGTGTCGGGGCTGCAAAGGTACGCGAACCTTGCTGGAGCCGCGTATTGCGACGGTGCGCTGCTCGCATCCTGGGCCTGTGGGCCGAAGTGCGTCCCGGGCATCGCGCGCCACGCGTCCGTCTGCAGGGGGCGCGCCACCAGCGGGTTCGTCGGGCGCGGGGCAGATCGGGGGCGGCCATGAAGGCGGTGATGACTGGGGGGGGGGATATATGGTCCTCCTCCTCCTCCTCCTCCTCCTCCTCCTCCTCCTCCTCCCTCCCTCCCTCCGTCCTCCCTCCCTCCCTCCCTCCCTCCCTCCCTCCCTCGTGGGCCATGATAGTTCCCCAGGTTTCACGGCGCCTCCTCTTATTTCATTGCGTGCCTGGCCTCTCTTTCTGGGCCGCGCACATGCCGCTGGCCATGATTTGCACCCCCCCTCTTGGACGGCCCCCTCTTGGCCGCCCCCGAGTAGACGGCAAGTGCGCCGTATCCTTCGAGGGAACGAGCAACGCGCAGGCTGCTGGGACGGACCTCGATTATGCCCCCCAGGCTGCTTACCACGGCACCCTGGTCCACCCGGGCTTCTTGGGAGAGTGGGGAAGTCTGAAGCCTTGCATCGAAGCGGCCCTTGACAGCTATGGTTGTGGCCAGGAAAGGAACCCGATCGGCATCACAGGCCACTCGCTGGGCGGGGCTCTGGCAGCCCTGGCAGCCTTCGACTTCGGTGTTGCGGGGTCCTTCAGCGTCTCGGAGGTCTACACGTTCGGCATGCCACGGGTGGGCAACGCAGATTTTGCAGACAGGTTCGAGCGCCTCTACCAGGACCGATTTTTCCGTGTGGTGAACGCTCTCGACCCATTTGTCAGCATGCCGCCCAGGTGGGTGCTGTACTACTGGCCGCCGTTCCATTATTCTTACGAGCACCTTTACCCTGAGGTCTTTTACCCTGGTAGCGTGGACACGCCGGGCTGCACGATCTGCTCGTCCCGCGAGAGTAAGGAGTGTCCCGCGGCTGGTCCGTGGTTGGAAATAGGGGTCGAGGGCACGAGCTGGCACCATCAATACCTGGGCGTCGACATGGGCCAGGTGGGCTGTGAATCGCGCGTCGAGCTGAGCTGTACCGACGACATCCCCGACAGCTGGTGCGGCCACGAATGGGGAGCCTGGATCCCCTGCAACAAGGACCAGAGGGGCCCGAACTCCAGCTGCAACCAGGAGACGAGCAAGTGCCGGTGCACCGAAGGCTCCTGCCCCGTGCGTGGCAGGCGCCCCGGCTGGGGCGTCACAACGCGCGCCTGCACCGATCCCCCCCAGGCCGGGTCAGTCGAGACCCGGGTCAGTCAGGCTCTGCAGGATCCTGCAGGATCTCGCTTGCTAGCTTGGGTCAATGCACCCCTGGCTCTGCAGGATCCTGCAAGATCCGGCGCCCTGGCTGAGCCCCGTTTGCATTGGGCCCCCGTCTCCTATCGGGGGAGCGTAAGACCCGGGTTTGCCAGGACTCGGGTTCGCCATCGTTTTTTGACGACCGCGACTCGGATTTTGACGAGGAGGAGTTTTGTGGGATGTCTGCAGCGGGAGGCCTCGTCAAAATGCAGGCTCGGCCTCGTCATTTTTTTGACGACCTCGTCGGGGATTTCCGAGTCCCCCGTACCCGGGTCTTACGTCTCCCCGATCCTATGCCCCGGCCCAGGATCGGGTCTGCACCAGGGCATACCGCCGACGGGAGGACCTCTTCCGTCCCGCTTCTCCTCCCGTGGCGGCTCTTCCGCCCCCGAGCCCTTATACTCGAGGGCCCCGGAGCCCGACGAGGGCCCCCAGCGGCCGAAAGATCGAGGAGAAACGAATGTGTCGAGCTCCCAGAGGCCGAAGTCGAGAGGAAGCGAAGGGGTCGAAGCAGATACTCGTCGCAGGCCTAGAGTCGGGCCGGACGAAAGGGGGGGATTGGGAAAGGGGGGGTTACGAAATTTGCTGCATGCAGCTGGTTTCGGCCTCACCGAGGGGCCCACTCCTCGATACATGGGCGCCTCCCGGCGCCGGGAGGCGCCGGGAAAATCAGCTACGTGAGCTGATTCTCAATCCCCCCCTTTGCTATCCCCCCCTTTCGCCCGACCCGATCGTCGCAGGCCTAGAGGTTCGGTGTGCGTCCACCGAGGGAAGAAGATCCCAATCTCGGTGATGGCGGTAACATTCTGGCTTCCGGGGTGGCCGAAATACTACCACCAACGCCGAAATAGCTAGGATCCTCTTCCCCCTGTGGAGGCAACCCTCCCTGTGTTGTTGGTGGTGCCAATTTCCAGGCCTCCAAACTCGTGTCGTCGGGAAGCCTGGGCACGCCTCTCTCTGGCCGAGCCGGGGAAGGGCGCGCGACGCCATCCAGGCGCGCGCAGGGCGGGCCCCCAGATGCCGACATCGAGGAGAAACGAAGGGATCGAGCCCCCAGAGGCCGAACTCGAGGGGAAGCGAAGGGGTCGAAGCAGATGCTCGTGTCGTCGGAGGCCGGGGCACGCCTCTCTCTGGCCGATGCCGGGGGAGGGCGGCACGACGCCACAAAAAATCACGGCGGAGGTTTTTCGTAGTTTTTGTGGCCTCGGGGGGGCCCTCGCCGGGCCCCGGGACCGTCAAAAAACGACTCAGGATGAAGAACCAGAACTGGAGAATGGGTCGAGATTTCCAGGGACCCCGTGTTGCAAAAATCACGACATCGGATCTCTAGGGACGCGTCTCGGGCGGGTGGCAATGGGAGGGGACCAATACTCTAGGCCTCCTGTGTGAGGTCGGAGCAGATGGGGTCGGAGGATCGCGCCGCATCGCCGATGCATCGGCGACGCGGCTCGATGTGGAGCCCGATTTGCTCCACGTCGACGTTGCCGATGCATCTCCCACGTCGCCGGTGCATCGCCGGTGCATCGCCGATGCATCGCCGATGCATCGCCGATGTATCGGCGATCCTCCGACCCCATCTACTCGGACCCCATCTAGAAGGCCTCTACAAACGGGGGGTGAAGAAAAGGGCCCTCAGTGGGGCCCTTTGGGACCCCTTGTGGAGCCAGCTGGGCCCCCCAAGGGGGCCCCTAAAGTGCCCCTTCGGGGCCGCGTCGCAGCCCAGTGTGCACTTAGCCCGTGTCGGCCCCCCCGAGAGCACGCAGCCTGTGCCGGCCCTCACTGCGCCGCCTGAGTCGTACGGCGGGGGCGCCGGTTGAGGCATGCGCCCAGGAGGCTTCGGACCGTAGAGGGCTCCTTCTCTGACGAGGGCGGCAGTGATATCCGTGGCCAATTCACGCGTGGAGCTCCTCCGGCTTCCAGGCCCTGGGTTCCTCATCCAATGGCTTCTTATTCGGGCGGGGCTGGGGCGAGGATAAATACGTTCCAGCGCGTTCCAGAACGCTCTCAACGCGTTCCGGAACGCTCTGAGAAGGACGCGGCGCCCGATACCCTCCAGTGCCGCCGCACATCAGAGGTTCTCGATTTGTCCTCGCCCGATGTTATCCTCGTCTTGGCTTCGTACTATTTGCTCAGTGCCCTTGCCCGTCGGTCCTTGAAAGTAGATATTTCTGGGCTCCCAGATCCCAACTTGCTTTAGGCGCCTTCCTACTTCAATCGTCGAGTGCTCTTTCTCCTCTTCCTTCCTCTTCAGGGGGCGGGCGCAAGCCCAATCTACTTCCAGCGCCTTCCCCCTTCGGCCGGCGGGTCTGTAGGGACGATGATGATGATGATGATGATGATGATGATGATGATGATGATGATGATGATGACGATGATGACGATGATGACGATGATGACGATGATGATGATGATGATGATGATGATGATGATGATGATGATGATGATGATGATGATGATGATGATGATGATGATGATGGCTACGGATGTCTCGTCCTGGCTACGGATGTCTCGTCCTGCTTTCTGCTCCTGCCGCACCTCTCCCGACCGACGGGCACCCCGTGCTCGCACCGTGTCGAACGGGCTTCGGTGGACGAGCACACGCTGTCGCCAGCACACGCCTCCCAAGGTGCCGGCTGCCCGGCGAGGCCGCCGAGGCGCCGCCCGCCCCGCCGGCCGCGCTGCCGTGCGAGGCCGCGGGCGGCTCAACGGCGCGGGCGGCGGCCCGCCCGCCCGGCCCTGGCGACGCCCTGGCGGCGGGCGGCGGCGCGGCGCTGTGCGCCGGGCTGGCCTGCGCCGCGGCGCTGCTGTGCGCCCTGGCGCGCGCGCGGCGGCGCAGCGCGGGCCGGCCCGGCACCGAGGGCTACGCGCGGCTGGGCTCCTGAGGCGCGCGGCGGCGGCCGTCGCGGCCGCCGTGCGGCACGGCGTCGCCGCGGGGCCGCGGGCGCCAGAGGCGCGCGCGCGGCGGCGGGCCCGGGGAGGCCCTGGGCCGTCCCTCTTGGGCTCTCGGGGTCGGGGTCGCTGGATCGCGCCGCATCGCCGATGCAGTGACGGTGCGGTTCGATGTGGAGCCAGAGCCTCTGCACGCCGACGGCTGCGATGCATAGAGGTGGTGCATCGACGAGCGGCGCGATCCTCCGACACCTCTGTCTGCCCTGACCTCGAAGGGTGATGGGAGGTCTGCAGATGGGGGGTGAAGGGAGCAGCACCTGTGGCACACTTCAGGGGCCCTTTACGGGCCCTCTGTTGCCTTGCACCTTTTTGGACATGTTCGGCGCTGGGCTGCGTGAGCGCTTCACTGCGCAGTGGAATCTACGCGCGCGAGGCATGTGGCGTTATCTTGCTGATGGAGCAGCGTCAGACCCCGAGGGGTTGCGCGGCGATTGCCGGGTCGCGTGCGCGCGGCCGCCGTGCCCCGGTAAAAAGAGGATGCACTTTCTGGGCTTCCTTCGTTTCGTGTAACGCAGTACTGGGCCCCATTGGGGACACTTTTAGGGAACCGAAAAATGGCAAAAACAAAGAAAAATCGCAAGTTTCAAAGTTTCTGTCATTGCTTGTTCCCCTAACTTTCGAGCCACTTGTTTCATCCACGGCGGCAGTTTAGAAGGAAGACGCCGTGCACGTCGGAGGTGAATGGGCAGGGAAAATAAGCGCAGACGCTACTGCAACCAGGCGCTGTGAAACAATCGCCCCCCCCCCGGCGTCGCCAGTTCCATGGGCAAGTGGTGTCAAACATCACCCCATACAACACATGCCAAAGCACATCACATATCAGGACAGCTGCGCCTCCGACGTGTACGGCGTCTTTCTTCGCGGCAGTGTAGGGGCACCCGTGGGACACTTTCATGCACCGCATTTTCGGCCGCCCGCCAGCGCTGCGCATCACAAGGTCTGAGCAGGAGGCTGCCGCGCGCGCCGTTCGTGGGGCAGGTCGCTGGCCGCGCGAGGAGAGGCGCCGCAAGCACGGGGGAGCCGCCGTCCGAGAGGGAACGCCCCACTCGAGCAGCGCACCATCGCTATCGTTCGACCAATCCCCCCACCCCCATCCCCACGCCCTCCCAACTCGAGCAGCGCACCATCGCTATCGTTCGACCAATCCCCCCATCCCCCATCCCCACGCCCTTCGAGCCCCCCCCACCAAATGACCCTCCCAGGGTGTGGATGCGGCCCTCGAAGCCCGCAGGGAGCGGCCGCTCTCTCTCCCCCCCCCCACCTGGGAGGGTCCCCACTCGGCCCCCCCCAAAGAGAGTGGGGGGGCCCAGGCCCCGCCGCCGGGGACCCCGGGGGGAGCGGGCGGAGAGAGAGAGAAGGTGAGGCGCCGGGAGCGCCCAGCTCGCGCCGCCCGCGCACCCTCCGTGAGACAAGTGTGCGCCTCCCGTTGCCTCGTGTGTGGGGGCAAAGCAGCTCTCCCGCCCAACCTGGGCTTCCCCACTCCGACTCACGGTGGGGGGCCGCCAGGCGCGTCACGTGGGGGGCCGCCAGGCGCGTGGCCCCGGGCCGTCCCTGGGCCTCGTGCCTCGCCTCGCGGCGCCGCGAGAGCCGGCAGGGTCCCTGGGGGGGCGGCGGGTCGTGGCGCAGGCGGCCTCGCCAGAACGGTGGGCGGAAGCCGCGCCGCGCTGGCGACCGTCGTTTTCTGGTTACGCATGCTTGGCTGTGGCCCGCTGCGTCGGCTGAGGGTGACGTGCTGCCCCACGCAGGCCCTGGCGGTAGCAGACCAGAGGCGTCAGGGGCGGTGTCGTCCAGAGCCTGCGCTCCCATTTCGTCGCTGACCATGCGGTTCTGCGTGGAGCCGCGTGCAGAGGCGTACTCCTCCTCCCTAGTTATGTTTTCCTTCCCCTCTTCCTAAGATCCTCCTCGTCGCAATTTTTGTGGCGATTTCCATTCTCATGTGCGACAAGGCTGGCTTGTAGTTGTGGCATCGTCCCAACAGTGTGTGTTTCACTTGGCGGGTTTGGCCGCGCGGGCTCCGTGCTGCTTTCCCGCTCACAGAATCGCTTCGCCTCGGCATCGTGCAGAAAAAAGGGTCATGAGGGCGGGGGGTCTGAGATTTCGTTCCGCAAACGTCGGTCTCCCCGGAACCGCCTAACAGTTTCCCAGGACGAGCGATTTACCTCAGGGATGCCTCTGGGCCCAGGACACTTTTCACCCAGGACCCATCTGTCTCGAGGCGTCTGCGACGGGCCAGTCGGGGCGCCTTTTCTGCGCACCGTTTCCACGGCAGGGGGCGCAGCGATGGTGCACGGCCGACGAACTTCGAACGGACAAGTTCCACCAACGCGCTGGCATGGAAAGAGCTTCGGTCAGCACGTTTCTGATCGGGGGCGTCCACTAGGAGTGAGGGCTAGGGGGCTGGGGGAACTCACTGCCTGGGGCCACGTTACCTCCCCCAGTATCCTGGCCCGCTTTTTCTTTCCATGCGTTCCCTGCCCCCCCCGTTCGTCCGCCGACATACTTCGGGCCACGATGCGCGGCGCCAGTGATACAGTCGAATACTCAAGTAGTAGTTCCGCCGCAGGCGGCGGGAACCCTTCCTCCCCCTCCTCGTCCTCCTCCTCGCTCGAGCCTCGGGTCTGGCCCTCCTCGTCTCACTTCCTCCTCCAGCTTGAATGCCAGCATCTTGAGGTTGATCGGGGCAGCCCCCAGGAAATATCAGTAGCCTGACACTGTTCAGGTGGCTTATTGCCCTTTCGCGCCCTCTTATTGGTGGGCGCCAGTGTTTTGCGTTCTTTTCTGGCGTTGTTTGGTCCTGGGGCCCCTGGTCTGCGGTGTTTAACTGGACCCTGGGTGCTGGCTGCCCCACGTTTTTAGACTTTTCGACATAATTAGGGTTCCCGCCCGCCTCAGTTTTTCTCGATGGTAGTCCCCCGAAGAATTTTGTGGAGCTCAGCCCGCTTCTGGCCACAGGGATATGTCCGTTCTGTGAGTCGAGGAGCGCGTGAGCCCCCCCACGTGCTAAGTCACCGCATATCATGCGCACTCGAGGAACCAGAGCTAACTTTTTGTTTTCAGTTTCGGCCGAACTCAGACTCGCGTTCCTGATGAGCCCGCCGCCGCCCCCTCTTCCTGGCCACCTTCTTCGGCGCACCCGCGCTGATGTCTGGGAAATGTTCTGTCACGCCTGCGTCGGGGAACATGGCTGTAGCCTGATAGGCGGCGCCCCCCTTGGCCCCCCGCGTCCTGTCGTCCGCAGCAGCAATGGTAAGCGCGGTCGGTCCCATCCGTTCGCGTGCCGCTCCACATGTGTGTGCGTGTGTGCTCCGAGCCTTCGATCTCCTACCCAACTCTCACGCCTTCGGAGGACCTCCTCTCCCTGCCCGCTGCGCGCGACTGGCGCCGCACATCATCCAACCGAACCTCCCTTCACACACGAGCTGGCGGCACACGGTCAACCGTGGACACTCCTGAGCAACGGAAGAATTACAGACCAATCGCGAGCGGCCTCATGTTGTACAAGCTCTTTTCGGGACTTATTCGCAACAGGTTGCATCCGTATCTTGAGTACCAACAGCGCGCTGACCAAGCAGGGTTCCGACCCCCACCGAAGCACGACGACCATTTGCTCACAACATCGTTGCTGCAACAGGTCACAGGTGAATGGCAAGTTCCAATGTGGTCACCCTCAGACTCCAAAACAAATCGATAGCATGGCTTCCGCGAGTATTTGGGAGTCGCTAGCACACAGCAGAACACGCCCAGACCATACACACACACACACACACATCGTTTGTGACAAAGCCTGTCGAATGGCAGGCGGCGTCAGCCCACACAGACCGCCCCAGCAGGCCGTGTGCGGTTTTGTATGGGGAACGAGGCAGGGGTACCCCCTCAGTTCTGTAGTTTCCACATGCGTGCCGGAGAACATCTACGACGGACAACACCGAGACGGGCGGCTAAGAACTAGGGCTTCATAAGCTCCAGCTGCACTCGGACGACCAGCTCAACAGCCCACGTTCTGTAGACGACACCCTGCTGTTTGCCGGGACGCTCAACCATTTTACACATAGGTTTGCCGATTTGATCGCGGTAGCGAGAAAGGCGGGCCTAGAACTGCACCCTGACAAGACCACGATCATGCAAAAAGGCCAGCGACAACCGCGTGGCAAACGCGCCTCCGACTCCTGGCACGTGCTCGGCATGAATGATGAGGTTCTGCCACCTTGCCGCGGAACGAAATGTTTAGGGCGACAATTACAGCACAGCATTCCCCAGGAAACAGATCTGCGAAGTCGTATCGCGACGGCATGGCTGAAGCTCTCCACACTCAGAGGCAAACTGACAGGGACAACTTACTCACGATTTGACTGGCTCCTCCTCCTCAGCGGAACCATCACACGGACAGCTCTGTACGGCTGCGAAGCATGGACTCATTATTCATGTGAGAACCGTCTGTGGCATCCAGCGCTACATCTGACCCAAGCCAACGTCGACGACCGACAGGACAACAGCCATCAGCACGACGACGACGACGACACGATCACAGAAGACAACACGACGCCGGATTCCACACACCCACAGCACAATCGACGCCCGACGACGAGAACGACCTCGATTTGTTGGAACCCTGGTTCCAATGGATCAGACGTGCCACTCACAACGTGGAGACTGCAATTGGGCGATTGCGAATCAAAGACTGTGCGTGTTGTAAAACGGTAGACATGGAAGAGGGTTCACATGCTGAATACAACAGACGAACAAGTATGCATCCGACACGTGACCCAGTGGAGACCACAACACGGCCAAGTATACGATGCAACGCGGAGGCCAGGCAGCCCAAAGTCATACGGATCGGCGACGTGAGGCGCTACGTAAACAATCATATGGGACCTGGCGGACATGGATGTCTGAGTGTCGAAGCAACATTACGTGTTGCCACAATCGGGCTTTGGAACAATATCGATTCCCATTTCTGACTGGGCCTCATTTTCTGGCGTCCTCGTGCCCCAGCGCCGCACCCGCAGCACCCCGTGTTCAGTGTTCAACGCTGCAGGAGTGCCGCGGGGAGGTGTGGAGGTGCTACAGAGGAGGATGGAGTAGGGGGGGGAAGGGAAGGCGAAGGGAACCGGGGAGGGAAGGGGGAATGGGGAGGAGAGCAGAGGGAGGGAGGGCGGCGGGGATGTGAGAGGAACAAGGAGGGAGGAGGGAGGAGCTAGGAAATATGATGTAGGGGGTGGGAGACAGAAGGGAACAAGCGAGGGAGGAGGAGTTGGAGGAGGAGGAGTAGGGCAGGAACAGTGCAGACCCAAAGCTCATCAACGATGTTGCAATGCACCCTCCTTCCGGGTTCCCTCTGCATATGCCCCAAAGAAAATTTGGTTCATTTGCTGAAAGTGCCCTGTTGCAGGACAAGCGTCAGAGAGTTCTTAATCGTGCCAAAGCGAAATTCCTTGGACTTCATCGCCGCGAATCAACGTGACTGCTGCGTCATGACAATCCTAAATCGTACCAGAACGCCAGTCCTGAGTTTCCAACGCCGCGAATCAACTTGACTGTTGCGCTTCCATTTTTTTATCATGTCACACAATTCCTAGGACTTCAAGCCCACGAGTCCTTTAAACAGCTGAACGCTTTGAAGTCGAATGCGCACGCGGCGCTAAGGCGAGAGCCACATTCTGAAGACGACCCGCCCTCAATCCTTGAAGCTGTCGCCACCTTGCAGCTGAAGGTGCGCGGCGCTAAGGAGAGAGCCACCACTTCTCCATCCTTGAACATGTTGCAAGCATTTAAGACCAAAGTGCGCGGCGCTGAGGCGAGGGCCACATTCTGAAGACGGCCCGCCCTCCATACTTGACGCTGTCGCCACCTCTTAATCTGAATGTGCGCGGCGCTAAGGCGAGAACCAGCAGGTCTCCGTTTCGAATTTGTTGTAAGCATTTAAGACCAATCTGCGCGGCGTTGAGGCGAGGGCCACATTCTGAAGACGGCCCGCCCTCCATACTTGAAGCTGTCGCCACCTATTAATCTGAATGTGCGCGGCGCTAAGGCGAGAACCACCAGATCTCCGTTTCGAACTTGATGCAAGCATGTAAGACCAAAGTGCGCGGCGCCAAGACGAGGCCCACATTTTGAAAGCGACCCGCCCTCCATCTTATAAGCTGCTGCTAGCATGAAAGGGAATGCGTGCGGCGCTAAGGCTTAAGGCGAGAGCCGCATTTTGAAAACGACCCGCCCTCCACCTGTCGCCACCTTTTTAGTCGAATATGCGCGGAGCTAGAGCGAGAGCCACCCGTTATCCATCCTTGAAATTTGTACGTGCAAACATTTGAAGCCACAGCGCGCGGCGTTAAGGCGAGGGCCGCATTTTGAAAACAACCCGCCTTGCATATTTGAAACTGTTGCTAACATTCGAAAGACTGCGTGCGGCGCTAAGGCGAAAGCCACATTTTGAGAACGACCCGCCCTAATCCTTGAAACGGTTTCTAACATGGGAAAGAGTGCGTGCAGCGTTTAGGCGAGAGCCACATTTTGAAAACAGTCGCCACTTTTTTAGTCGAACGTGCGCGGCGCTAGAGCGAGAGCCACCCGTCATCCATCTATGGACTTGAAAGTCAAAGTGCGCGGCGATAAGGCGAGGACAACATCTTGAAAACGAGCCGCCCTCCATCCTCGAAGCTGCTGCTAGCATGAAAGAACATGCGTGCGGCGCTGCGGCGAGAGCCACATCTTGAAAACGACCCGCCCTCCATCATTGAAGCTGTCGCCACCTTTTTAGTCGAATGTGCACGGCACTAGAACGAGAGCCACCCGGTATACATTCTTGGAATTGGTGCAAGCATTCAAGAGCAAAGTGCGCGGCGCTGAGGCGAGGGCCACATTTTGCAAGGAACCGCACTCCATCCTCGAAGTTGCTGCTAGCATGAATGGGAGTGCGTGCGGCGCTAAGGCGTGAGCCACATTTCGAAAGCGACCCGCCCTCCATCCTTGAAGCTGCTGCTTGCGTTTAAGACGAACGTGCGCGGCGTTAAGGTGATAGTCGCCGTTGGAAAAAAGCACCCGCCCTCCATCCTTGAAGCAGTTGCAAATTTCCAAGCTTCAGGATCACAAGTGGCGAGGAGATCTCAGGCGACACGCCAGGTCCGCCCTACCGACAGGCAGGAGCAATTTATAAGGACAAGGGATGGAGGACAAGCGTAATGAGGGGGAATATGGTCAAGCTGCGGGCCAGAGGTGCAGAACTTCAAAAAACGCTCGAGAGCCTTGTGGGTCGGAGGTGCAGCATCCTTGAAACGCTCCAGGCTTCGTCGGCCACACGTGCAGAGATTTCCCGGAACATTCAGATGCGCCCCTGGTGTCGGCTGCACGCACGCAAAAGTGGCCCTCTGTCAGACTGACCTTCGGCGCGCGGCCTTCGCGGCCAGAGCCAAGCACGCGAGCCCCGCTGCAGGCGCACCGCCTGCAGCGATCGGCAAGCTGCGCGCCACAGGCCGTCACTCTTGCTCAGGGCCGCTTCTGCGCGCAGCCGACAGTGCCTCATTTGGGCGGACCCCGCCCTCCGCCGACCGCGCTGCCTGGACGGGCGCGGCACCCTGTCCGCGCCCGCGGGGCTTCGCCGTCAACGCCACCGCTGCGACGACGCCGCCGCGGCGACGACGCCGCCACCGCGGGGACGACGACGATGCCAACGGCGGCGGCGGTGACCCCCCCCCCCTGCAGGACGCTTGCGCCGCCGCCGAGGCGGCCCTCGCCGCGCCGGGGGACCTAGAGCGCCTGGGCGCGGCGGCGGCGGCTCGCGCCGTGGGGGCGCAGGCCAGCGGCGCGCGCCGCCGCTGTGGCGGTGGTCGTCATCGCCGTCGCCGTGGTCGTGGTCGTGCTCGCCGTCGCGCTGCTCCTTTGCTGCTGATGCTGCTGCTGCTGATGCTGCTCCTTTGCCTTTGCTGCTCCTTTGCCTTTGCTGCTCCTTTGCTGCTGCAAGCTGCTGCTGCAAGCTGCTGCTACAAGCTGCTGCTGCAAGCTGCTGTTGGCCGCCGCGGCAGCCGCCGCCGCCGCCAACGACGCCGCCGCCGCCGCCGCCGCCGCCGCCGCCGACGACGACGACGACGACGACGACGACGACGACGACGGCGGCCGAGGCCACAAACGCCACGGCGCCCGACCTGGCCGCTGCGGGCGGCCCCGCAGAGGCTGGCCTTTACGTGTGA